ATTCCTCACCCAGCTTCTCACCCTGGGAGATGGCCACTTCTCCACCTCTCAACCTGGTTACTGGCACCAGGTTGAGATTTTCCTCACCACCACTGGCAGCACATTAAGCCTTTTATTTTATTTTATTGTAAAAGCTCAGACCAATGCTTTCATATCATCATGTGGTTGAGATATCTTAAATTCTGAGATTGAGAGATATCTAAATACTGTTAGTATCAGAAAATACAAAAGACACACCGATACAAAGGAAATGAATAGAAAGAGGTATATTTAAATAGAAATAATAGCAAAAATGATGGTAATGTTGATGATGTTAGGGTCTATAAAAGAGAGAACAGCATAAAAGGAGGAAAGAGAGGAGAAAAGAAAGGGGGAAATAAGAAAAAAAGGAAAGGAAAGGAAGGAGAGGGGAAAGAGAAATATGGGGAAGAGAGGAATGTGTGTTTGTTTAAAATGCAGATGAAAGCTGTTCAGAAGGCAGATCACTGAAGACAGGTCACAAGAGGAGATGTTATCTAAAAACTTTTCATTCCTGTAGCTTATGAAAAGGACCCATGATTCTATGAGCTTGTTCTCCTTTTTGCTTCTGATTTCTGTTCAACAAAAGGCCAAACTCCCAGAATATTAGGATGTCACCACTCTTGCTAGCCATTCTTCCCTTCAGGTCCAGGAGACACCTGTGGGTACAAAGGACATCTGGGGGACCCAGAAAGCAGAAGCTGTTGCCCGATGTCTCCAGCAAAATATATCACCCAGAATGCACAAAGAGAGCTGATGTTCTGGTTTGAATCAACACTGTATCCAAATAAGCACAAAAAGTACAGAATACATATTTATTAATAAATAAATTACTGTGTAGTAACAACCCTGTTACCATATAGGAGTAAAAGATTGTAGAAAAAGGTCACTTAAGAATTCGGGAACATTTGGGAGAATACATACAGAGAAAACAACAAATCTGACTTAGTCTAAGCTAGTGTATTTTAACACCACTTTCTGACCCTCAAAGAGATGTGGCAACCATCAGTGAGTACACATCCCTTTCCGGGGCACATCTTCCACTGTGATGTGCAACAACTGGTATTAATAGGCTTAATGGTTCTCATACTGAAGGAAAGGTAGCCATCACTGACGCACAGCGTAAATTAATAATGCAGAGTTTTAAAGAATAAAAACTTTACTGAATTAAAATAATCTTCTTAATAAACAACATGGTTCCAAACAGTTTGTCTGAGATTACATACTGACTCTGTTCACAACTGAAGCAGACAGACTCTCACATCTTACAGAGAACACAAAAGAGAAACTGGCTACTCAGTCACATGTTAGAATGACTCAACAGTTAGCAGTTAGGCCTGAATAACTTTAGTAGGCCCAAATGACTGTGCAGTCCCAGCACTTCCCAGCCTGCTTTGCTGCTTCTGCTCTCATGTGTCTTTGTCACATGACAACCATGGCAGCATCAAAAAGAACTTACTGATAAGCTACAAAACCGCCAGTGCAAACTTGAATGGCCCCATGGATGCAAGCATGTTCCAAGTTCAGCTGATTTCTGGGAAGAGCATGTCTGTGACATGCTAATTTTTGATTACTTTGTGCCTCATTAGGATAAGGTTGTTTCCAGCTCAGTTTTATCATAAAGCCCGAGAGACAAATACATTCATTTAATGTACCTGTTTACTGACAATGTAGGTGTGGCTAGACTGGAAGAGGCATCTGGCTGACTCCCACAGAGTTCCTTAAAAGGATTGCATCCAATATGAAATAAGAGCTTTGTGTCACAATATGGCAATATAGGATTTCTGGGAAAGCATGCACTCTCTATTTCCATAATTTCCTGCTCCCCACTGAAACAGTCCTTCCTAGTTGGAATTCCTGGGCACGTTTCCTTGGCCCATAATAATTCCAAGTCAGCTCCTTCTTCTGCCATAGGTCACCTGCTGCTGAATTCTTCCTTGGCTTTTGATCACTCCGGCATTATGAGGGCTTTTCTGAGTATATATTTCTTCTTTGCACATTTGGTTTAGACTACTGCCTAGGCTAAACAATGCAGAGGTGTGGGAACAGTGCAATGGTTGGGCAAGCCCCTTCTTTCTGGTCTGAAAGAAGCAGCAAAAGGAGGCATTTGTACGGCTTCTGGCAGAAGGGGTGACGATTCTGACAGGGTCCTAAGTATAACCCCCTTCTTCCCAAAGCCAATAAGCACTGCTAGGTAGTCCTAACATAAATCATGACACAAAGAGAAGGACACCCCAAGATAGACAGCTTAGTGCAGAATGTCCTCTGTTCCTTCTGTGCTGTGTATGGCTAAAAAATACCTTGGGTGGTGGGAAATGAAGGTATTGCTTTGTCCCTCACCAATTAAACATAAGGGGAACATGCTGGATCAGGGCAATCACCCCTCAAGTCCAGCATCTCAACAGATCCCTGTGGGAAGCCTGAAAGCTGGACTTGACTGTGACAATATTCTGTCCATCAGCAATTCCCAGGCACCAAGTATTCAGAGACAAACTTCCTTTGACGGTAGAGGTAGAACATAGCCTTTGTGGGTACTTTGCCCTGCCTGAATTTGTCTAATCCTCTTTTTAATTCATCTAAATTGGTGGCCATCATTGTCTGCTGTTAGGGTGGCAAAAGAGCAAAAAGAGGGTTGCAGAAAAGCAAAAAAGAGCACTGCCAGGGTTCTTCTTATCTTTTGAAAATGGAAGATGGGATTTCTAGCAGGTATAAATAACTAGCTGGGTAAAATCCAATACAATGTGGCCTGGGACAGTCATCACCAAACAGAAGAGCTTAGTCAAAGTATCTCTCCCTGTCCCAACAATCTGACACAATTAGACAAAGGAGGGGCAAAGTTTTGTAAAATGATTTAATTAGCTCTCAGTAATGATCTTGGAGTCACTGTATTCTATTCAGTGCCTACCAATGTGTCCCTGGAACCTTTCAACAGTCCTGAGCTATGTCTAGCTCTACCACTGCAGTAGTCACCTGAGCAGTACCCTGAGGCTTTCATTGCACTTTGATTAGCAGCCTGGAAGATCAGAAAAAGTAAATTGCTCTTTCCAATTCATTAAGACCCCACATCATGTAAGAGCAAAGACAGAGACACTAGTTCAGAATATACCTTTATCCACCAAGAACCAAGCAACTTCCCATAGATCTTGGATGTGATAGTATTAGCAGTTTATGCACATGTCTGTAGCAAATGAGGGCTACGGTCACACACTGAAGAATATGGTTGGCAGTCTCAGCCATTGTGGGAGGAAATTTAAAAGTCTCATCACAAACAATTCAAGCACTTTGTTTGCAGTAGAACGACCAAAGCACTAAATTAGTTGTTCTGTTTTAATGATGGGCATTAAACCACATGACTGGTTGAGAGAATGGCCATGGCAGTGATGAGGTGGTTTTTTTACTCAACAAAATGCTTATCAAAAAAAGTTTGAAGAGGGTAAAAAGAAAGAAATATTGGAAGAAGTGATTTAAAAACCTGGAAAAGATTCAGAAGTGTTAGTGAACCAAGAAACTGAATGAAAGATTAAAATGTTAAGGTAGATTTTTTTTAAAAAAATGCAAACAAATGAGGAAAACTGCTTGCTTGGCAGTTAAAAAAGAAACATGAATTGAATGTAATAAATAAATTGAAAGTAGAAGGAAAAATAATAGATAACCCGAATGACATTAGACAACAATTTGTAAAATATTATACAGAGCTATATTGAGCCGGTAAAGAAAATAAAGCTAGAACTGGAGAATATTTAAAGCACAGTAATTTACCAAAGATTCCAAAACAGAAAATCAATTATTTAAATGCACCAATAATAATACAGGAAGGGTACCAAGAAATTAACCAATCAAAATTAGGTAAGTTGCCAGGGCCAGATTTATCAGCAAAATATTATTAAAAACTACAAGATTTTCTGGGACAACCGTTGAAGGATGAAGGATGTAAAAGAGTTAATTCATCAAGATCAAGCTAGCTTTCTTCCTGACTGACAGATGAAGGATAATATAAGGAAAATTAAGTGATACAATAGAGTATCTGGAAGTCAGGAATGAAAAGCAAGCAGCTTTGATGTTTGTGGATGCAGAGAAGGACTTTGATAACGTGTCATGGACCTTTATGGGGGGGGGGATATGGAGATGATGAATTTTTGAAAATCATTCCTAAGGGGAATTGACGCAAGTTATGCAGACCAGCAGGCAATGTTGATAGTCAATAATGTAGTATCAGAAAATGTAAAATTACAAAAGGGACAAGACAGAGTTTGCCCCCTGTCACCATTACTGTTCATTTTAGTATTAGAGACCCTGGTGAGGAATATAAGATCTGATGAAGAAATAAAAGGTATAACAGTTGAGTGCAAAGCATATAAGCTGAGAGCATTTGCAGATGACCTTGTAATGACCATAGAAGACCCATTGGCATGTATACCAAGGGTCCTAGATAAAATATCTGAATTTGGTGAGGTAGTGGGATTTAAGATAAATAAAAATGAAATGAAAGTACTGGTTAAAAATATGACAGAACAACATAAAAATGAGTTACAACTAGCAACACAATTGACAATTGAAAGAAAGAAGGTGAACTGTTTGGGGGTTTGGTTGACAGCTAAGAATATAAATTTCTTTAAGGATAACTATGTATGGAACTATGGAAAGAAATAAAGGAAAATATGGATGTTTGGGGAAGGATGAATTTATCACAATGGGGAAGAATTTCAGCAATGAAAATCAATCTATTGCCAAGAATGTTATTTTTATTTCAAACCATACCCATAGTCAGTGGAGCAGAACACTTCAAACGATGGCAAAAAGATCTTTCTAGATTTATCTGGCAGGGGAAGAAACCAAGGATTAAATATAAATTATTAACAGATGCCAAAGAAAGAGGTGGATTTTCACTGCCAGATTTGAAGTTATATTATGAAGTGTCCTGTCTCTGCTGGCTGTGGAAGTTGATAATTTTTTAATACATATATTTTAGACCTTGAGGGTTATGATAATAGATTTAGATGGCATGCATTTATTTGGTATGAGAAGACTAAAGTGCACAAAGGGTTTTTAAATCATTTGGTAAGGAAATCCATTTTTGCAGTATGGGATGAATATAAAAACCTGTTAGAGCAGAAGACACCATGGTGGCTTTCCTCACTGGAAGCAATATCCTTGAAAAAAACCAATGCAAAAAGTGAATGGGCAACCTATAAAGAGTTGCTAATGGAAATAGAACAACAATTAAAGTTGAAAAGATTTGAGGATACAAGACATTTAGTAACAGATTGGTTGCAATACCATCGATTAAATGATGTGTTTAACATTGATAAGAAAAATGGGTTTAGTAAGGAAATTTCAAGGTTTGAAAAAGATTTACTGGAATACAATGTGAAGTTACTTTCCAAAATATACATTTTGTTGCTAGAATGGCATACTAAAGATGAGGAAGTTAAATTGGTAATGATACAATGGGGAAAATATATTGGGCACAATATATTGGGCACAATATTCAATTTTCAATTTTCATCTGGGGAAAAGTTATGGAGGGAGGACTTAAAATTTACAGCATGCTGTGCATTGAAGGAGAACTATATGAAAATGATGTAACACCTACAAAATTAGAAAAGATGTATAGGACTACTTCAAATGTATATTGGAAGGGTACAGAGAAGGAAGGCACATTCTACCACATGTGGTGGATGTGCAAGATAACAAAAAGATTCTGGGAAATGATATATAATGATCAGAATAAAGGTTTAAAATAACATGGGGGGGGGGGCAGAAGCTTTTTTACTAGGAATTTCAGATGGAGAGATACCAAAGGAGCAGAAACGATTATTTATATATGCGAGGACAACTGCGTGGATACTACTGGCCCAAAGATGGAAAAAAGACGAAGTCTTGACCAGGCACGAATGGTTGATGTAGATGATGGACAATGCCAAATGACGAAAATGACCAGGGAAATCAGAAATAAGGAATGGGAAAAAAATATACAATTTACTTAAGAGAACACTGTAAAGAACTAAAAACTTTGACAGGATTTGAGTAACGCTTGCAATGTACTAAAAGCTAAGGTAAAAATGGATTATTTTAAGAAAAATAGAGAAAATATATGATGCAGTAGAAAAAGTTTGATAATGGAAACCATGGAGGGGTGGAGGGAATCCTAAATGTTGATGAGTGTGACTAATGCTTGAATTCAAACGAATCGTGTAAAACTGAAAAAAAAATGATTTTCTTTTCTTTTTTTAAAAAAGAGAGAATAGCCATGTTTGTGTAGCTCCCTAATAGAGAAAGCTCCACGGCCATTGCTGGCTCTAATAGAGACCTTCCTCGTAGCTGTGTAAGTGGCTGATTCATACCTGGCACACTCAGCCATTGGCACATTCAACTCCTGAGATCTCACTTCATTCTTTTCACCCTCTGGAAACCACGTCAAAGACAGCAGGATCAGTTTTACTGCTTAAAGTCTCCATTGCATCCACAGCCCATTCCACACTTTCCAGCCTTCCTGGAATGGATCTAGTATCCAGGCTTTTCCTGAAGGAGCATCTCTACCCCACTCCCAAACACTGAGATCTAGCTCTGAGGGCCTTATGGAGGTTTTCTCACTGTGAGAAGTGAAGATAGAGGAAACCAGGCAGAGGGCCTTCTTGGAAGTGGTACCCACACTATGGAATGTCAAGGAGGTAAGTGACTATAGAACTTTTGGAAGACATCTGAAGGCAGTCCTGTATAGGGAGATTTTAAATGTTTGATGTTTTATTATGTTTCTGTATATGCTTGAAGGCGCCCAGAGTGGCTGAGGTAACCCAATCAGATGGGGTGGGGAGTAGAAATAATAAAATTATTATTATTACTATTAAGAGGAATCCTTAGATGGAGGCCATTTTGAAGGGCTATTTTGTAGGTGGCTTCAGGGCTTTTGCCCTTGCCTATTTGGCTCTAAATTGCTTTCTTGAGTGCCTTCATCACTGACATTGTAAATTGTAAATTATCTCTATCAAAAAAGAAATCTTAGAAGTGTCTATCAACAACTAATGAGATCATAGACAATTCCTTCACTGAGTTTTGAATTTCAGTATGTTCCTCTTTATCTTTGTGGTGTACAAACAGCACCCATTCCTGGACTTCACTGAACCATTTGTTCCCAAGTGTTGCCTGCGACATGAGACCATGGCCTATAAATAACTCCACGTAAGCCTCTACCTGCACCAATTCCCTTGTTGATCCATCTCTGCTCTGAGTCTCCTAATCTTTCCAGAATGATGAAGGCACTCCTGAGCGCATGCCTCCTCTTGGTCCTGCTTTCTCCAGGTAAGATGGGGAACATTTAATTACCTTTAGAGGACACTGAAAAGAACTTGCAGCTTGGGAGAGAAGGGGAGTTAAAAGTGCAGGGGACTTCCGGTCAGCGCCATTAGCGAACGGAGGATTCCCTTTGATCTCGGAGGGAATCGGCTCTGCGAAAATCGGGTCCTGAGTGCTGCGGCGGAGCGGGGACCCTCAGAAATCGCAGGCGGTGAAGCCTGCGAACGTGGAGACTCGGCGGGCACCCTTCAGCGCCCCCCCCAACTCGCGAGGAAGCCTTTTTTTTGGAGGCTTCGGAGCGGAACGGGGGAGAGGCGCGGTGCTGTGAGTTGACTGCTGCTTTCGCGGAGCGGAGCCGTGTTGGCGTTGCTAGAGAGCGCTGATTTCTTTCCTGGAACATTCGGATCAAAAACTACCCGTGAGTAGGCGGAATTGGATTTAAAAGATTGCGAATTGGATTAAATTTTTAAAAGGAAAAAAGACTGTGAATTGGAACGAAAATAAGGACTGAATTGGCTACCGCGGTGGGAGGTATATACAGGAAGTCCGCTTCCCGTCTTGTAGATAGTGTAAAGCATAGAGACTTTGAGCTAAAATGTTGAAATCTAACTTGAAAAGAGCTGTTTTCCGACCTGAGAACTCTTTCTGAATCTACCCTTCTGAAAGCAGGCAAGGAAGGGGTTTGTTTTTGGACTGTGCAAAATTGTTTAAAGAAAGGGGGAACAATCTGCCAGTGAGACGTCTCAGCTGTCAAAAACTGTCAAAAGGGATCTGCTGATAGTAAGGTGGATACATTGTGGCCAGTTTCGTTGGAAAAATAACTGGAAGGCAACTTATTTGGAACTGTTTCTTTTTCCTCTGATTACAGTTTGGTGTTTTTTTTTGTTACTTTAAAAGGGAAAGTGATTGCTCTGGACTGTTGTAACAGTGTCCACCTAGGGGGACTTTCTGAAATTGCAACAAGGGAATTTTCCACTGGTAAACAGGAACAGCACATCTGAGAGTGACCTTGGTTCTTACATTGTTATGGCAGATGGAAGAGAGAAATTAGACGCGTCAGTTTTGAGGTCTGGGAAAGCCTGGGGGCATCGAAGGCAATCATCTGCTGGCTTGCCTACGACAGCAACACAAGCTAAGTCCAGTGGAATGGCAGAAGAAGTTCTAGCCAGCGCTCTGGCCAGGATTAATGAAACTTTACTACAACTTAGTACAAAGGTTGATGAGACAAATAAAAAGGTTGAAGAAACCAATAAGAAAGTTGATACTGCAAATAAAAAAATTGATTTAAATACAGAAACATTAGATAACCTGGGGAAAAAGGTGAACAGCAATACAGAATCCATTCAGAAACTATTGCAGGAGTCGAAGTCGACACAGGAAAAAACTGCTGCTGTGGAATTTAAAGTAGAGCAGCTGGAAACTGAGAAGGTACCTGGCTTACAGAAGGAAATTGCAGATCACAAGTTGACGCTGTCTATGATAGAACTGAGAGAGAAACAGACCAATCTAAGAATTAGAGCTATTCCTGAGCTGGAGACGGGCACCTTGATAGACTTTCTGACACAAGAATTTGCAGAATTTTGGAAATCGGATTTGAAACAAGAAGACTTCAAGATGGTGAGGGCCTTTAGATTGGGAAAAGGAGGAAAAAAGATTAAAATAAGGGATTGTTTGATTACCCTCCGATCTAAAGAAGAGAGGGACAAAATTCTGGGTTTGCATTACAAGAAACCTTTGATAATTCTGCAATCAAAAGTGGAAATTTTTAAAGACATACCGAAATATCTTTTGGATTTAAGACAAGACTTTGGAGACTTGGTGGCCCTGTTGAGAAAAAGTAAGATCCTTTTCAGGTGGGAATTCCCTCAAGGCCTATCTTTTAGTTTCAAAGGAAGAAAGATAAAGATAAGATCAGTGGAGGGAAAAAATAAGTTCCTGAGCACATACAAAGAAGATCTACAGAAAGGACTGGGAAAAGAGCCTGCCGTACTGGACAAGAGTCTACCAAAAAAAGGGAAATCAACGCCACCGACAGATATAGATAAACTTTTGGGAGCTGTTGGGGGAGAAGGAGAGTAAGTACAATATGACACTGCAAGTATTAAGCTGGAACATTAATGGTTTGAACTCCCGGGAAAAAAGGGGGAGAGTATTTCATATATTAAAAAAAGAACATTTGGACTTGATTTGTTTACAAGAAATGCATGTGACAAGGCTACATCGAAAAATTTTGATCAATAAAAGATTAGGAGAAGAATTTATCTCATCAGACAATGTGAAAAAAAGAGGAGTAGTACTCTATGCAAAGGAAAGCCTGTCACCAAAATTTTTATTTAAACACGACCAAGGAAGATTTATTGCAATCGAAATTCAGCTTCATGGTCAGAAGTTTTTGACATTAGGTATTTATGCGCCAAATGAGGGAAAATCAGAATTTTTTAAAAAATTGCATGAAATCCTATTGGACTATCTGGATTACAATATAATTTTGATGGGAGATATGAATGGAGTAGTGTCTACAAACATGGATAAAGCCCAAAGACAAACGGTGACAAAAGATGGCAGACTACAAAAGACATTTTTTGAAATGACTGACAATATGGACCTTGTAGATATTTGGAGAATAAAGAACGCCTTGGAAAGAGAAGGAACCTTCTTCTCTGAAGCTAAAATGACATGGACAAGAATAGACCAAATTTGGATAACTAGGGGACTGGCCCCGAAGATAGAAAAAGCGGTAATTTGTCCTAAAACTTGCTCTGATCACAACCCAGTAAAGATGGAAATGGCATTAACGTCAATTGGAGCTTTTAGATGGAGGATGAATGACTCCTTGCTTAGGAATGAGGAAATCATCAAAAAGGCCCAGAAAAACTTGAGAGACTACTTTGAGATAAACATGAATACTACGACCGAGAAAAGAGTGATTTGGGATGCAAGTAAAGCAGTGATGAGAGGGTTCTTGATACAACAAAATGCAATTAGGAAAAGAGTTCAAAATGAGAAGAGGGAAAAAAATCTTGGAGAAAATAAAGGATGGAGAAAAGAGACTGAGGACAAAACCGAATTCACAGGAGATTTTAGAAGAGATAAAGTTATATCAAGTACAATATATGAAACTGACGAATCAGGAAATAGAATGGAAGATCAAACAGATGAGACAAAGGACATTTGAATCAGCGAATAAGTGTGGGAAATTGTTGGCATGGCAAATGAAAAAAAGACAAAAGCTTAATACTATTACGAACTTGGTGGTAGAAGGAAAGAGTATACAGAACCCTGTGGAGATTAGAAAGTGTTTCCAGAAGTATTTTAAACAGTTATACACGCAGGAGACTCAGAAAGAAATAGACATCGATCGGTTTTTGAGAACAAATGGATTACAAAAAATCGCTCAAGAGAGTAAATCGATGCTAAACTCTATACTAACTGACCAAGAGGTGGAAGGAGCCATTCAGGACATGAAATTGGGCAAATCTCCAGGGCCAGATGGTCTGACTGCAAAGTATTATAAATCTTTGAAAGAATGGTTAATGCAGCCACTGAAAGAAGTTTGCAATGAAATATTAGGGGGGGGGAGGCACCCGAGTCGTGGAAAGAAGCTTATATTACACTCATACCGAAAACAGAAGCGGAAAAGACACAGCTTAAGAACTACCGTCCCATATCCCTACTTAATGTGGATTACAAAATTTTTGCAGAAATTATGGCTAAAAGATTAAAAAACGTATTGGTGAAAGAAATCCATAAGGACCAAGCGGGCTTTCTCCCGGGGAGGCATTTGTCAGATAACACGAGGAATATAATTAACATTTTAGAAAAATTACAAGTTAATATTAATACTAAAGCAGTTCTAATATTTGTGGATGCGGAGAAAGCCTTTGATAATATTTCTTGGAGTTTTATGAAGAAAAATTTACAGGGAATGGGGGTAGGCCAAAGCTTTGAAAACGGTATAGGTGCAATTTATTCGGAACAAAAAGCTAAGTTGATCGTAAATAATGTAGTTACAGAAGAGTTTAAGATTGAGAAAGGAACAAGACAGGGTGGCCCAATCTCCCCATTGCTTTTATATCGGTCCTGGAGGTCCTGCTTAATATGATCAGGAAAGACCAATTGGTTAAAGGTATACAACTCGGAGCTAAACAGTATAAATTGAAAGCTTTTGCTGATGATTTGGTTTTGACATTACAGGAGCCAGAATCCAGTACTAAAAGAGTATTGCAATTAATTCAAGAATTTGGTCAAGTAGCAGGATTTAAATTGAATAAGGTGAAAACCAAGGTGTTAGAGAAAAATCTTACAGAGATTGAGAAAGAGAGGTTTCAGAAGGAGACAGGATTAACATTGGTCAAGAAAGTGAAATATCTAGGGGTTCACATGACTGCTAAAAATGTGAATTTATTTAAAGATAACTATGAAAAATGTTGGATAGAAGTGAAGAAGGATTTGGAAATATGGTCAAAATTGAAGTTATCATTGTTGGGCCGAATTGCTGCGATAAAGATGAATGTATTGCCTAGGATGTTGTTTTTGTTTCAAACATTGCAGATTTTGGACAAGATGGACTGTTTCAAGAAATGGCAGAGAGATATTTCGAGATTTGTCTGGCAGGGCAAGAAGCCAAGAATAAAATTTAAGATTTTAACTGATGCTAAAGAAAGAGGTGGATTTGCCCTGCCAGACCTTAAACTTTATTATGAATCAGCCGCATTTTGCTGGCTGAAAGATTGGCTGCTTCTTGAAAACACGGACATTTTGGACTTAGAAGGTTTTGACAATGTCTTTGGATGGCATGCATATTTATGGTATGACAAGGTTAAAGCACATAAGGCCTTTAAGAACCATATTGTCAGGAAAGCATTGTTTAATGTCTGGGTGAGATATAAGGATTTGTTGGAAAGTAAAACACCAAGGTGGCTGTCACCAATGGAGGCTAAGGCTCTGAAAAAAACTAATATGGAGACAAATTGGCCAAAATATTGTGAAATTTTAGAACAAGATGGAGATAAACTAAAGCTGCAGAGTTTTGACAAATTAAAAACTAAAGTTCGAGACTGGCTTCATTACTATCAAATAAGGGAGGCTTATAATCTAGATAAAAAGATTGGTTTCCAGGAGGAAAAATCAAAATTGGAAATAGAACTGTTAGATCCTAAAACTAAGAATTTATCAAGAATGTATAACTTGCTGTTGGAATGGAATACACAGGATGAAACGGTTAAATCTGTTATGATTAAATGGGCACAAGATTTTGGACATAACATTATGTTTGCTGACTGGGAACAGTTATGGACCACAGGTATGAAATTTACGGCTTGTAATGCCTTAAGAGAAAATATAATGAAAATGATTTACAGGTGGTACTTAACCCCAGTCAAGCTAGCAAAAATCTATCATTTGCCAGATAGTAAATGTTGGAAATGTAAAGAGACGGAGGGTACATTTTTTCACCTTTGGTGGACATGCCCAAGGATTAAGGCTTTCTGGGAAATGATATATAATGAACTGAAAAAGGTATTTAAATATACCTTTCTGAAGAAACCAGAGGCCTTTCTTCTGGGCATGGTCGGCCAATTGGTGCGAAGGGAGGATAGAACTTTCTTTATGTATGCTACAACAGCAGCAAGAATACTCATCGGGAAGTACTGGAAGACACAAGAATTGCCCACCCGAGAAGAATGGCAGATGAAAGTGATGGACTACATGGAACTGGCTGAGATGACCGGCAGAATTCGAGACCAGGGAGAAGGGTCGATGGAAGAAGATTGGAAAAATTCAAAATATATCTTCAAAAGTATTGCAACATAAAAGAATGTTAGAAGGAGGTTGGAAAAAGAATATTAGGTCGTTTCGGTAGATACGATATAATGGAATAAGCAAAAATGAGTTGATGAATTTGATGAAATAGAGGAGGTTTAATTATACTATTTTAATTTTAAAATATGTAAATGAAAATAAGGTTAGAGGGATTTGCTGGAAATACGATTCGAACTAGAATACAAAATTGGGAGGTGAGAGGAGGTCATGGAAATAAGTAAAGGGAAAAGGTTATGTAAAGGTTTAACCTGCTTTTGTTTTATTTTTAACTTAAGGCATTTTTATATTTTTTGTTAAGCTTTCTTTTTTATTCTATCTTATTGTTCTTTTTACTTGTTTATTTTTTGCTCTGTTATGGGTAATGTTTTCTTTGTATTCTGTATGGTTTTTCTTTTTTTTTTTCCTGTGATTTTAAATTTGGAATAAATATCATTAAAAAAAAAAAAGTGCAGATCAACACCCCACAGAGCAAGGAGTGCAGGGTTACCAAGAGAAAGTAGCAGAGAGTTAGGTCATGAATATTTCTTGTGATGTCATTATGATGGGCCCGACGATCCTTTTTCCCCTGGGCCCGTCCTCTCACTTAAGTATAGTGCACACAACTCACAGAACACCAATCCCACGGATTTCCACAGTCTACCTCAGATTATCTTGTAGGGGATTTGTGTGAAGTAAAACTTAATAATTAGGAGTCTCGGGCAGGATTTGTTCAAATTAACAATAACAATTTTATTTAACAAGGAAGTTTATGACACAAGTAGATAAAACTTAGGATACTTCAGTTTACAATGTTATTTCACTTCAAGGTTTTCTCAGTTGTTCACACTTAATACTTTGGTTCTTAACAAGGTGGTACTTTCTGTCAGTTACATACCCCTAGACAACCCTACTCCTGAGGCACTCCAAGGTTTCACTGGTTTGGGAGTCTTCTCTTACTAGAAGAATCTCTCCCCTCCTGACTGGAATGAGACCTAAGTATACTGTCTCTTTAAAGCTTCTACATCTCCTTTCTCAACCTCAGCCCCCCAGTTAATTTCTGGCCTAAATACTCTTACAGGACACCACACACTGTCCTTCACACTTCCCAACCTCAATCCCAACCTACTCCAAAACCTCCTCCCAACACTCCCTCCAAAACTCACTCCTCCTTTCTCTCCAAATCCTCTCCTTTTCTACTCCCCCTCCTGGAACCTTGGCCAATCAGAGGGTGTCGTACATTAACCCTTTTCTGGCATGGGGAAAAGAAACAGAAAATACTTGGGGACCCAACCTGCCCCAGCAAAAACAAACTTTTCCTTCACAGTCATCCAGATAAATGATGTCATTGAGATAAACAATGAATTTATTGCAGATAAAAAAATAAATCGGAAAAATAGAAACTGAAAATAAGTTAAATTGATAGATTGGTTCACCCCTAGTCCAGGATCCTGTCCTCACACTGGCCAACCCAATGATTATGGGAAGCTCACAGGACCTCAGTGCAACAACAACTTTTTATACTGGAGGTAGTACATAGGCATCATGTTTAGTAGCCACTGAGAGTCTTATTTTCCATCAATTTGTCTAATTCTCTTAAAAAGCCATTCAAATTGGTGACATTGACTACATCTTGTAGAAAATTCCTTTTTCCCCCCAAATTTTTTATTAGTTTTCCAAATTTATAACAAACAAATAAAACACACACCAAAAACAAACAAACAAACAAACAAACATTTATCCTAATTGTAATAGTTTCACTTTTGTTAACATTGTTGGGTGACTTCCTTGAGTCCCCCTGGCTAAGTTTCCATATAAGTCATTGTAGCAGTTTTACAAAACTATTTTCACAAAAAAATTACTTAGTCAATTAACATCTTTCTTTCTTTTCATTTTAACTTAACATAGTATTCTACAACATCACATATGTAAATCCTAGGCCTATCTGATGTTGTTGTTTAGTCGTTTAGTCGTGTCCGACTCTTTGTGACCCCATGGACCAGAGCACGCCAGGCACTTCTGTCTTCCACCGCCTCCCGCAGTTTGGTCAAACTCATGCTGGTAGCTTCGACAACACTATCCAACCATCTTGTCCTCTGTCGTCCCCTTCTCCTTGTGCCCTCCATCTTTCCCAACATCAGGGTCTTTTCCAGGGAGTCTTCTCTTCTCATGAGGTGGCCAAAGTATTAGAGTCTCAGCTTCAGGATATGTCCTTCCAGTGAGCACTCAGGGCTGATTTCCTCATCTGATACTCGCAAGTAATTCTATTTAAGTTATCTTAACATATTTAGCTAAGTAGTCTTTGAATTTCTTCCATTCGTCTTGGTACGCCTCCTCCTTCTGGTCGCGAACTCTTCCGGTCAGGTCGGCTAGCTCCCAAAAGTCCATCACCTTCATCTGCCATTCCTCCACTGTTGGTACTTCTTGTGATTTCCAATTTTTGGCCAACAAAATTCTAGCTGCAGTTGTGGAATACAAAAACAATCTGACATCTTTCTTGGGAAATTCCAAACCTGTTATTCTAAGTAGAAAGGCTTCTGGTTTCTTAATAAATGCAGATTTCAACATTTTTTCCAATTCCTTATAAATCTTTTCCCAGAAGTCTTTCACCTTGGGATCTTGTAGAAAATTCCATAGTTTAATTGTGCTAAGATGTAAGTTCATAACCAAACAGTGGAAAGAAAATGTATCGTATTTAAGTGAGAGTCTGGATGGGAGAAAAAGTGGGTCGTGGGAAAGGGAGAGTTCACCCCCCACTTCTTAGAAACAATTAAACCAGTGTTGTGGGCAATAGCTTTGAGAGTTTTAATTAATGAGTGTTTTACTCATTTCCTTTTATTTTACTCTATTCTGTTAAAATGCTTTTAAAATTGAACCCCTTTTAATTTAGAAGTTTTAATTTACTATCACCTCCTCCTCTTAGTCTCATTAAGCAAACTGCAAAATCAAACTAATAATAATGTTAATGATCATAATAATCCATGAAGTAAACTTTTGCTTCTGTATTCAGCATTACCTCTGAACTGCAGATATACTTATAACAAGACTGGACTGACATATAATCGCTATGTTGAAACAACTTGTGGCTCCAAGGAAGATTCCTGTGTTGCCAGTGTTCTGCGTACAAATATAAGTAAGATTTTCCTGCCTTTTTGTCTTTTGCTGTTGGATTAGATCCAGGTTAAGATTGTTGAACTTTAAGGGTTCTACTAGCATATAGAAGTCTATGCTAGGGCAACTCGGCCATGAAAAAAGTGAGTTGAGGAAGCTGTAGCACTTCAACTATAGATGAATTAGAACTCCCATCAGCCTCAGTTAGCCTGGCCACCAGTCAGGGATGATGGGAGATGCAGTCCAACAACATCTGGAGGATCATAGCTTCCCAATCCTGAAGTAAGCAATGGCTTGCATATGAAAATGGGGAATCTAACATCACCTGATCACAACCACTGGCTGAATCTGCGTGCTTATCTCCAATCTTGGAGAACCTGATTTGTATCAACCAGAAATCCCTATTGACCCAAAACAATGAACCCCAATTTAGTTTTGGTTATCAAATTAGACAATAAACCTAGAATATAAACTGAATATTCCCTTTGCCATAAATGAATTGAAATTGAGAGTCCTTTCAGAGATCTATATAAAACTAATGAAAAGCTGAGCAATTGGGATGGGAAATGAAGGTGCTTCACACTTTCATGGCTCCCCCTCCCCCCTCAAGTAATTTTGAATTAACTCTCAGTGATGAAATGATTAGGAAGGAACCAACATTAAGTATTCTTGCAGTTTGCCTATTAAAAAGGGTTTCTGTTATCCAGCTTGATTCAGTATGGGCCCCTCCACCTGACGAACTTCTTTCATACTTCAGCCATTGGTTAAGGTTGATTTGATCCCCTTGCCAGTGTGGTGTAGTGGTTAAGAGCGGTAGACTCGTGATCTGGTGAACCAGGTTCGTGTCTCCGCTCCTCCACATGCAGCTGCTGGGTGACCTTGGGCCAGTCACACTTCTCAGCCCCACTCACCTCACAGAGTGTTTGTTGTGGGGGAGGAAGGGAAAGGAGAATGTTAACCGCTTTGAGACTCCTAGTAATAAAGCGGGATATCAAATCCAAACTCCTCCTCCTCCTCTTCTTCTTCTTGCTTGTTCCTGATTAACCCACCCCTTCTACCCTGGAGGACATGGGTGCCATTTCTGGTTTGTCTGAGGTGCCAAAATGCCTTGGGGCAATCCTGGGTGGGATGGTGGTGCTCACTTGACCATCTGTTCCAACATCACTGCTACATTTTTGGAGGGAGAGGGGCAAGTGGGCAGTAAGGTTGGTGCAATGCAAGTGTCTTGCCAAGTGTCTTTTGTTCAACAACAGGAGTTCAGTGAAGAATGCCCCGAACCTGAAACTGTTATGACCGACTAGCAGCTAGAGTGCAGTGTATGTCAGATGTATTCTCGGATGTATAGGAGAAGGCATGAGTCCTCGTGCTAGAAATTTGATGTGAAATGAAGTTCTACATACACTCCAAATTTAAAGCATTATACAAATTAATTGCAAACATAAAAACAGAGGTTGGTCCTATGGATTAAGGAGGCAAGAGACTACTGCTTGTGGCAGAGAGCTGAACTCATAAATGCCTGCAGAAAACTATTCTGTTCCACCAGGGCTATGCAGATCATTAAGAATAGATCTTTCCACATGTTGGCTATTTGCAGATTAGTTGCGCTGCAGAAAGCATGCTGGGGAGACCACACATTACAAGGAACACAAATATAACTTTTGCTAGGTTTTAATAACAAAAACTCCTTTTACATTAATTATAATATATCAATAAGCATGACCCATCCACCAAGGTAGTGAGAGAGCTAGATGCTGCTTAACAGCACCTGCTATACTGCTTCACAGCTGTAAAACTAGGTCATGTTATTTGCTCTGGCCCTTAAAGAAATACACATCTTGTGGAACAATAATGAACCTTCAAATTTAAAGAGACCATTCAACACCACACTGGTTAATTGATATCTATCTATTTACTTTTAATGTTGTTTTTATTGTATCTCTTATGTATTATTACTGAAAAACATTTTGATATTTTTTCCTTTTATGTTATAGCAGTGCACACGTGTTTAAACAAACAAACAAACAAACAAACAGCACCTCACTTTAGATTGCCAAATTTAATAATACTTTCCATATTGTTAGTTTGAAAAGGTCCTGATTCAGGCATCAAAGAAAATTGGAACCATTACAGTGAATGTGCCTTAGGAGCAATAGTCCTGAATATTTTCCCCAGATCTAGAGATTTCTTTCAATTTCTTTTTCATAGTAGAACTCCGAGCGCAACTTTTGAGTAAATGCACGTCATCTGACAATTGTTTCTCAGGCAATTACAGCTTCACTGCAGGGGATGGTAAATTCTTTGAGATGAAGAAGCACTGCTGCAACACTGAACTGTGTAACAATGCAACTCTCAGCCGTAAGTTTCTTTATAATTTTAAAATCCACAACATGTTAGGGCTTTGCATTGGATTTGGCCAAAGGCTGGATAGGTAGTCAATCAGCAGTACTCAGAGGACCTGGGCCTCATTCAAATGGGGTGAGACAGCCCCAGATGGCTATATGGGTTGAGCAGGTCAGCACTATTAGGGCCTCTCAAGGGGTGGGGAGGCAGGGAGGGCGAAGAAGCAGGCATGAGGAGAAACTGTGAAGAAGAGGGACCTACTGGGCAGCTACATCTCTGCCTGAGAAGGGATGGGTTCCCTTTCCAACCAGGCTTCTCCTGAATCTGTACCAATGTCAATCCTAAACCCAGATTGGGTCTAGATAATCTTTTCATCCAATAATACTTGCAGGTTCCCCACCAAAACTGTAAAGCCCTTGGGTGAATTACAATAATATAATATACATGTACAAAAAACAGATAAAACCATTAACATGCTCATTATACTTTTGATTTTGGCAGTTCCTGATCACAGCGTGCTGACTGAAAATGGCCTGAAGTGCCCAGCCTGCTTCTCCAAAGGAACCACACAGTGTAAAAGTGAGAAGACCATCGACTGCCTTGGGAATGAGACCCAGTGTGTTGTTTTTAAAGGAGCTCTTCATATAGGTAACATTGCTACTCAGACAGGGGGAAAGGGCCTAGTCATTGGCTGGCTCATGCAAACTCCCTCCTGTTCTCCTATTCTCCCTCCCCCCTTTCCCTTTCCCTTGCATATTACTAAAAATGTGAGAGGGACCACATCTCTCACTGGCCCCACTCTGCAACCTTCCTTAATGTTTTGCCTACCTGGACTGTTTCCTTTAACTCTCATAATGCCTCGCTTGTCCAGAAGGAGTATTCAGAGTGAGATGTGTATGTAAAACACCGTTCTGAACAAAAGTAAAAAGTGCATTCATTGCTTCACCCCAGTTGCTCCTGGATCCCTCCACCACTGGGTTGCAGTCCAGGGGAAAATGTGTCCCTCTTGCTCAAAAAGCAAATTTATTATGTAAAAGGCATGTAATAAGTTTCCTTAAATTCTGTGACAATGAGCAGTATCTGGCTAACTCAGCCATTAGTGCAAGGATTTACAGTTGTACAACAGGATTTCCGCTCTCTTCTGCCTGTATGTGTTCTTTATCCTCCCAAATGTATTTAGGAGGACAAAGAGAGGGAGGATATACTCAGTTCCACAAGCATACATCATTTTGCTGATGTCATGATTTAGCTACATTAGTAAAGATATAGCACTTTATATTCGTTATAACACTGTGACACCAGATGGCTTGATGGAATCCCATCTGTCGTCAATCGCATTTGCTTGTATGAAGGTTGCAATGCATTTAACTGAATTGCTATTTTGATGTGTCTAGATCCAGCCTTAGATGGATATCTCCCAATCAATATAGTTTTGAGGAATAATGGTGTTTGGAGACAAGACAAATTTTCCAAATCCCTCCTTTCTGAAAAGAAGAGGGAATTTGGAATGAACGGGGGAAGGGAATATGGGTTGATTTGCCCCATAAAGGAAGAGGCAGAATCAAGGCCATTTGAGCTGCTTCTGCCCTACATTCTTTCTTCTCATCCTTCTCCTGCCCTTTATAGCCTGGGCTTTGCAAATTTCTCTTCTAAGGGCTGAGTAAGAATTCTGAGAGGAGTTCCTAATTGGCTTTTGCAGTCCCCCCTTTTCACCTACTTCATGTTAGCTGTGTTTAACATGAAACTTGTAAAATAAAAGGAGGATTCTCTGGATGCTTAGATCACAGTGGGGCAATGAGGCCGCCTCAGTGGGCATCCAACTGTCCTGAGAGACATTGGAGTGCACCTCCAGCTTTTTTGTGTGTGTGGCTGCATCACACTTTTGACTCATGCCAGGTTCAAACACTCAAGGCTCCCACACCAAGGAAGGGAGTATTGTTTTCAAATCTTGCTGTGTGGCCACAGCATTAGGCTTCTAACATGCCCAGGAGATAGTAGGGATATAATTCCTCTCCTTTTTTCTTTTTTCTTTTTTGCACCTGACATGCACACAAGAATTTGATTTGGTTAATCTTGTTAATTAGGCCTGTTTTCAGATCCTCTAATTTAATTACATTTTATAAATATAACCTGTTTACTAATAATCTTTGTGTCTTGAGACTCCTTTGGGTATGATGGCCATTCTGAATTACATATGAGTGTTTTTTTACCTTAACTTCTGATGTTGAAAATTTTGTATATTCATGTTCCAATGAAATTATGATATTTTTCAGATTTTTTAAATATACACATTTTAAAACTAACTAATTAAAATTCTCATTCACTGTCACAGGCAGAATCTCCTAGTTCCTGGGTAAAGGACTTATGTCAATATTTGTTTTCTTTTCCCTCAGCTTTTGCTAGGCTCCACCATTTCACGTTCCAAGGTTGTGGAACAACAGATTTTTGTGCCATCACGAAAAACAGAAGAACACTTGGATATGGGGAATTTGGCCTTTTTATTACCCAAAAAAGATGTTATACTGCTTCAGGAATATCACGCCAGCCTGAACATGAAGGGTGAATAGGACAGTGTAGACCTCCTCCTTGTGTATTGCAAAATCCATGGCAATGAGGGGGAACTGGAGGCCTACTGGTGAAATCCAGGGCTTAGGATTTGTGGATCTTTCTTTTTTGCTTTTGGTGGAGGTAAACAGAAGCAAGGGGCAATGAAAAATGGGTCAAAATGTGGGGGTTGTAGATTCTAACTACAAAGAACCCTGTAGTGTATCATTAACAAATAGTTAAGTTTTCATTATGATCATTACAAAACAAAATAAATGGTTATGGGAAATAAAATTTTGGTTCTTAGTTCTGTTTCAGATACAAATGCAATTATTATTTATTGGTTTAGCTGAAGCAATTACAAAATCAAAAATACATAAAACAGGATAAAAGCAGAATTATTTTTTCTCCTTATAATCGTCACTGTAAAGGCAGAACAGACCACTTTTTCAGAGGTGTATGGGCACTTGTTCCTTAATAAAAAGTTTATCATATACCCAATCCATCTCTCAGTTGGGAGAATTAAATATTTCAACAAAACGTCTCTTAAGTCCTCATAGATGTGACAAACCAGCAAGTAGTTGGGTAAATATTTAGGAACCTTATCTCCATGTAGGCAAACTTTTTCTACATAGAGAATCCAGCGATCGCATCCTTCAACTATGACAGACTTCATACACTGGAGTCACAGAGCTGTAAATGCTTTCCCCCATTTGATATTTGTGATCCTGGTTACATAGTGATGGGGTTGAATGTGTAGTTTGACATATCATGGTGTCGGATTGTCCCACCCATGAGGCAAGGTGTGGCGATCATCTTAGTGGCTGGATCCATAGGGTCATCAGGAACATGGCCCCCCTCAGAAACTGAGCTGAGCTAGCAAAGGGCTAACTCTGCAGATGCAAGCTATCTGTTTGAGTTTAGAGAGGACAGCCCACCCTCCTTCCCAGGGAATAATCCGTTTGTTCTCAAGAGAAAGAGATGAAGAGTTGGAAGCCAGGCAACCATCAGATAAGCCAGAATCTGAGGCGGTGTCTTCTGGGGACGAAAGGTAAAAAAGGTAAAGGACCCCAGACGATTAAGTCCAGTCAAAGGCAACTATGGGATTGTGGTGCTCATCTCGCTTTCAGGCCAAGGGAGTCAGTGTTTGTCCACAGATAGCTTTCTGAGTCATGTGGCCAGCATGACTAAACCACTGAATCCAAATAAGCACGAAAAGTACAGAATACATATTTATTTATTTATTTATTTATTTATTAATAAATAAATAAATAAATAAATAAATAAATAAATGTGTAGTAAGAACCCTGTTACCATATTGGAATAAAAGATCATAGAAGAAGGTCACTTAAGAATTCGGGAACATTTGGGAAAATACATACACAGAAAACAACAAATCTGACTTAGTCTAAGCTAGTGTATTTTAACACCACTTTCTGAGCCTCAAAGAGATGTGGCAACCATCAGTGAGTACACATCCCTTTCCGGGGCACATCTTCCACTGTGATGTGCAACAACTGGTATTAATAGGCTTAATGGCTCTCATACTGAAGGGAAGGTAGCCATCATGACTGCATAAAAAAGAAAATACTGATAAGCTACAAAACTGCCGGCGCAAACTTGAATGGCCCCATGGATACAAGCAGGTTCCAGGTTCACCTGATTTCTGGGAAGAGCATGTGTCTGACATGCTAATTGTTGATTACTTTGTGCCTCATTAGGATTAGGTTGTTTCCAGTTCAGTTTTACCATAAAGCCCAAGGGAGGAACACATTTATTTAAAGTACCTGTTCACTGACACTGTAGGTCTGGCTGACTCCCACAGAGTTCTTTAAAAAGATTGCATCCAATATGAAAAAAGAGCTTTGTGTTACAATATAAAAAATATAGGATTTCTGGGAAAGCATGCACTCTCTATTTCCATAATTTCCTGCTCCTCACTGGAACAGTCCTTCCCAGTTGGAATCCTTGGTCACCTTTCCTTGGCCCATAAATCCCTCCAAGTCAGCTTCTTCTTCCATAGGTCACCTGTTGGTTCATTCCTCCTTTGCTTATGAGGGCTTTCCTGAGTAAATGTTTCTTCCATGTACAGATAGTTTTGACTACTGCCCACGCTAAACAATACAGAGGTGTGGGAACAGTGCATTGGTCGGGCAAGCCCCTTCTTTCTGGTCTGAAAGAAGCAGCTTCTGGAAGAAGGGGTGAGGATTCTGACAGGGTCCTAAGTACTATCCCCTTCTTCCCAAAGCCAATAAGCACTGCTAAGTAGTCCTAACAAAAATCATGACGCAAAGAGAAGGACACCCCAAGATAGGCAGCTTAGTGCAGAATGTCCTCTGTGTCTTCTGTGCTGTGTATGGTTAAAAAATACCTTGGGTGGTGGGAAACGATGGTATTGCTCAATTCCTCACCTGTTAAAGGTGAACATGCTGGATCATGGCAATCACCCCTCAAGTCCAGCATCTCAACAGATCCCTGTGGGAAGCCTGAAAGCTGGAATTGACTGTGACAATATTCTGTCCATCAGCAATTCCCAGGCACCAAGTGTTGTTTAGTCATTTAGTCGTGTCCGACTCTTTGTGACCCCATGGACCAGAGCACACAAGGCACTTCTGTTTTCCACTGCCTCCCGCAGTTTGGTCAAACTTATGCTGGTAGTTTCGAGAACACTGTCCAACCATCTCGTCCTCTGTCGTTCCCTTCTCCTTGTGCCCTCCATCTTTCCCAACATCAGGGTCTTTTCCAGGGAGTCTTCTCTTCTAATGAGTTGGCCAAAGTTTTGGAGTCTCAGCTTCAGGATCTGTCCTTCCAGTGAGCACTCAGGGCTTCAGACCATATTTTGTGCTCTCCTCTTTCACCCTCATTAAAAGGTTCTTTAATTCCTCCTTACTTTCTGCCATCAAGGTTGTGTCATCTGCATATCTGAGGTTGTTGATATTTCTTCCAGCAATCTTAATTCCGGCTTGGGATTCATCCAGCCCAGCTTTTCGCATCATCTTTTAAAATTTTAAATAGTTCTGCTGGAATATCATCACTTCCACTGGCCTTGATATTAGTAGTGTCCATGTGTAGAGTCGTCTCTTGTGTTGTTGGAAAAGAGTAGCTGGATTTCTGTGATGTTAAAAGGTCTGCCTTGGATTCGTATCGCGATCATTCTATCATTTTTGAGATTGCATCCCAGTACAGCTCTTGGCACACTTTTGTTGACTATGAGGGCCACTCCATTTCTTTTATGGGATTCTTGCCCACAGTAGTAGATATGATGGTCATCTGAACTGAATTCGCCATTCCCGTCCATTTTAGTTCACTGATGCCCAGGATTTCAATATTTATTCTTGCCACATCCAACTTACCTAGGTTCATGGTACTTACATTCCAGATTCCTATGCAATATTTTTCTTTACAGCATTGGACTTTCCTTTCGCTTCCAGGCACATCCACAGCTGAGCAACCTTTCGGCTTTGGCCCAGCCGCTTCATCAGCTCTGAATCTACATGTACTTGTCCTCCACTCTTCCTCAGTAGCATGTTGGACGCCTTCCGACCTGAAGGGCTCATCTTCCAGCGTCATAACTTTTATATGCCTGTTGTCTTTGTCCATGGAGTTTTCTTGGCAGGGATACTGGAGTGGCTTACCGGTTCCTGCTCCAGGTGGATCATGTTTGGTCAAAACTCTCCACTATGACCTGTTTATCTTGGGTGGCCCTGCACGGCATAGCTCATAGCTTCTCTGAGTTATTCAAGCCCCTTTGCCACGGCAAGGCAATGATCCATGAAGGGGCAGGCACCAAGTATGAAATCAATTTTCGCAGTATGGGAGAAATATAAAAACCTGTTAGAGCAGAAGACACCATGGTAGCTTTCCTCACTGGAAGCAATATCCTTGAAAAAAACTAATGCAAAAAGTGAATGGGCAACCTATAAAGTGTTGCTAATGGAAGTAGAACAACAATTAAAGTTGAAAAGATTTGAGGATACAAGACATTTAGTAACAGATTGAATCATAGAATCATAGAATCATAGAGTTGGAAGAGACCACAAGGGCCATCGAGTCCAAACCCCTGCCAAGCAGGAAACACCATCAGAGCACTCCTGACATATGGTTGTCAAGCCTCTGCTTAAAGACCTCCAAAGAAGGAGACTCCATCCACACTCCTTGGCAGCAAATTCCACTGTCGAACAGCTCTTACTGTCAGAAAGTTCTTCCTAATGTTTAGGTGGAATCTTCTTTCTTGTAGTTTGGATCCATTGCTCCGTGTCCGCTTCTCTGGAGCAGCAGAAAACAACCTTTCTTCCTCCTCTATGTGACATCCTTTTATATATTTGAACATGGCTATCATATCACCCCTTAACCTCCTCTTCTCCAGGCTAAACATGCCCAGCTCCCTTAGCCGTTCCTCATAAGGCATCGTTTCCAGGCCTTTGACCATTTTGGTTGCCCTCCTCTGGACACGTTCCAGTTGGTCAGTGTCCTTCTTGAACTGTGGTGCCCAGAACTGGACACAGTACTCAAGGTGAGGTTTGACCAGAGCAGAATACAGTGGCACTATTACTTCCCTTGATCTAGATGCTATACTCCTATTGATGCAGCCCAGAATTGCATTGGCTTTTTTAGCTGCCGCGTCACACTGTTGGCTCATGTCAAGTTTGTGGTCAACCAAGACTCCTAGATCCTTTTCACATGTACTGCTCTCAAGCCAGGTGTCACCCATCTTGTATTTGTGCCTCTCATTTTTTTTTTGCCCAAGTGCAATACTTTACATTTCTCCCTGTTAAAATTCATCTTGCTTGTTTTGGCCCAGTTCTCTAATCTGTCAAGGTCGTTTTGAAGTGTGATCCTGTCCTCTGGGGTGTTAGCCACCCCTCCCAATTTGGTGTCATCTGCAAATTTGATCAGGATGCCCTTGAGTCCATCATCCAAGTCATTGATAAAGATGTTGAATAAGACCGTGCCCAAGACAGAACCCTGTGGCACCCCACTAGTCACTCTTCTCCAGGATGAAGAGGAACCATTGATGAGCACCCTTTGGGTTCGGTCAGTCAGCCAGTTACAAATCCACTGAGTGGTAGCATAGTCAAGACCGCATTTTACCAGCTTCTTTACAAGAATATCATGGGGCACCTTGTCAAATGCCTTGCTGAAATCAAGGTAGGCTACATCCACTGCGTTCCCTTCATCTACCAGGCTTGTAATTCTGTCAAAAATGAGATCAGGTTAGTCTGACATGACTTATTTTTCAGAAATCCATGCTGACTATTGGTGATCACAGCATTCCTTTCTAGGTGCTCACAGACTGTTTGCTTAATGATCTGCTCCAGAATCTTCCCTGGTATTGCTGCAGAGTTTCGACAAACTAAAAACCAAAGTTTGAGACTGGCTTCATTATTATCAAATAAGGGAGGCTTTTAATTCAGATAAAAAGATTGGTTTCCAGGAGGAAAAATCAAAACTGGAAACTGAATTGTTAGATCCTAAAACTAAGAATTTGTCAAGAATGTATAATTTGTTGCTGAAATGGAATACACAGGATGAAACGGTGAAATCTGTTATGATTAAATGGGCACAAGATTTCGGACATAATATTATGTTTGCTGACTGGGAACGGTTATGGATCACAGGTTTGAAATTTACGGCTTGTAATGCCTTAAGAGAAAATATAATGAAAATGATCTACAGGTGGTACTTAACTCCAGTCAAGCTAGCAAAAATCTATCATTTGCCCGATAATAAATGTTGGAAATGTAGAGAAAATGAAGGTACATTTTTCCACCTTTGGTGGACGTGCCCAAAGATCAAGGCCTTCTGGGAAATGATATATAATGAATTAAAAAAGGTATTGAAATATACTTTTCTGAAGAAACCAGAGGCCTTCCTCCTGGGCATGGTCGGCCAATTGGTGCGAAGGGAAGATAGAACTTTTTTCATGTATGCGACAGCAGCAGCAAGAATACTCATTGGGAAGTACTGGAAGACACAAGAATTGCCTACCCGAGAAGAATGGCAGATGAAAGTGATGGACTATATGGAATCGGCTGAGATGACTGGCAGAATTCAAGACCAGGGAGAAGGGTCGATGGAAGAAGACTGGAAAAAATTTAAAATATATCTTCAAAAATATTGCAATATAAAAGAATGTTAGAAAGAGGTTGGAAAAAGAATATTAGGTCGTTTTGGCAGATATGATATAATGGATTAAGTAAAAATGAGGTATGGAAATTGATGAAATAGAGGAGGATTAATTACATTATTTAACGTTAAAATAAGTAAATGAAAAGAAGGTTAGAAGGATTTGCTGGAAATACGATTTGAACTAGAATACAAAGTTGGGAGGTGAGAGGAGGTCATGGAAATAAGTAAAGGGAAAAAAGGTTAAGTAAAGGTTTAATTTGTTTTTTGCTTTATTTTAATGCAATGCATTTTTATATTTTTTGTTAAGTCTTTTTTATATTCTATTTTATTGTTTTTTTTGTTATATGCTTATTTTATGTTTTGTTATGGCTTAAGTTTTTCCTGTATTTTGTATGGCTTCTCTTTTCTTTTTTGTAATCCTAAACTTGGAATAAATATCATTTAAAACAAAAACAAAAACAGAATCTTCCCTGGTATTGATGTCAGACTGACTGGGCGGTAATTATTTGGGTCCTCTCTTTTCCCCTTTTTGAAAATAGGGACAACATTTGCCCTCCTCCAGTCTGCCGGGACTTCGCCTGTTCTCCAGGAATTCTCAAAGATGACTGCCAGTGGTTCTGAGATCACATCTGCCAGTTCTTTTAATACTCTTGGATGCAGTTCATCTGGCCCTGGAGACTTGAATACATCTAAACTAGCCAAGTATTCTTCTACTATCTCCTTAGTTATTCTGGGCTGTGTTTCCTTTACTGAATCATTTGCTCCAAATTCTTCAGGTCGGGCATTGTTTTCTTTATCGGAGAAGACTGAGGCAAAGAAGGCATTGAGGAGTTCAGCCCTTTCTGTGTCCCCTGTTTGCATTTCACTATCTTCTCCTCTGAGTGACCCCACTGTTTCTTTGTTCTTCCTTTTGCTACAAACATACCCATAAAAGCCTTTTTTGTTGCTTTTAACCTCTCTAGCAAGCCTGAGTTCGTTCTCTGCTTTAGCTTTTCTGACTTTGTGTCTACACGTGCTGGCTATTTGTTTGAATTCCTCTTTGGTGGTTTCCCCCCTTTTCCATTTTTTGTACACATCCTTTTTTAATCTTAACTCAGTTAAAAGTTCTTTAGATAGCCACCCTGGCTTCTTTAGGCACCTTCCATGTTTCCGTCTCATTGGTATTGCCTGACATGATGCTTTTACTATCTCCCTCTTAACAAACTCCCAGCCATCATGAGCTCCCTTTCCTTTTAGTATTACTGTCCATGGGATCTCACCCAGCACTTCCCTAAGTTTTATGAAGTCGGCTTTCTTAAAGTCAAGAAATTGAGTCCTAGTATGCTTGGCTGCTCCTTTCCGCTGTATAGTAAACTTCAGAAGAGCATGATCACTCGTGCCTAATGATCCTTCCACTTCTACCCCACTAACCAGGTCATCAACATTGGTTAGGACCAGATCTAAAATGGCTGTTCCTCTTGTTGCTTCTCCCACTTTCTGGACAATGAAGTTGTCTGCAAGGCCAGTGAGGAATCTGTTTGAACTTACGCTCTTGGCTGAGTTTGACATCCAACAAATATCCGGGTAATTGAAGTCTCCCATTACTACTATCTCCCTTCCTTTTGCATGCTTGGCCATCTGTTCCAGGAAGGCATCATCTATGTCCTCCGTTTGGCTTGGGGAACTATAGTAAACTCCCACAATGAGGTCACTGTTATTCTTCTCTCCCTTAATTTTGACCCAAATGCTCTCACTTTGGCTTTGAGGTTCTAAATCTTGGATCTCTTCACAGGTATACACATCCCTGACATATAACGCCACTCCTCCTCCTTTCTTGTCTGGTCTGTTTCTCTGAAATAGATTGTATCCCCCCATTATTACATTCAAATCATGGGACTTAATTGATTGGTTGCAATACCATCAATTAAATGATGTGTTTAACATTGATAAGAAAAATGGGTTTAGTAGGGAAATTTCAAGGTTTGAAAAAGAAAACAATGTGAAGTTACTTTCCAAAATGTATAGTTGTTGCTAGAATGGCATACTATAGATGAGGAAGTTAAATCGGTAATGATACAATGGGCAAAAGATATTGGGCACAGTATTCAATTTTCATCTTGGGAAAAGTTATGGAGGGAGGACTTAAAATTTACAGCATGCTGTGCATTGAAGGAGAACTATATGAAAATGATGTAACACCTACAAAATTAGCAAAGATGTATAGAACTACTTCAAATATATATTGGAAGGGTATAGAGAAGGAAGGCACGTTCTACCACATGTGGTGGATGTGCAAGATAACAAAAAGATTCTGGGAAATGATATATAATGAGCAGAAGAAATGTTTAAAACAACGTTTGGGGGGAGGCAGAAGCTTTTTACTAGGAATTTCAGATGTAGAGATAACAAAGGAGCAGAAACGATTATTTATGTATGCGAGGACAACTGCGTGGATACTACTGGCCCAAAGATGGAAAAAAGACGAAGTCTTGACCAGGCACGAATGGTTGATGTAGATGATGGACAACACCAAAATGGCAAAAATGGCCAGGGAAATCAGAAACCAGGACATAGTAACTTTAATAAGGAATGGGAAAAAATATACAATTTACTTAAGAGAACACTGTAAAGAACTAAAAACTTTGACAGGATTTGAGTAACGCTTGCAATGTACTAAAAGCTAAGGTAAAAATGGATTATTTTAAGAAAAATAGAGAAAATATATGATGCAGTAGAAAAAGTTTGATAATGGAAACCATGGAGGGGTGGAGGGAATCCTAAATGTTGATGATGGTGACTAATGCTTGAATTCAAACGAATTGTGTAAAACTGAATAAAAAGGATTTTATTTTCTTTTTTAAAAAAGAGAGAATAGCCATGTTTGTGTAGCTCCCTATTAGAGAAAGCTCCACGGCCATTGCTGGCTCTAATAGAGACCTTCCTCATAGTTGTGTAAGTGGCTGATTCATACCTGGCACACTCGGCCATTGGCACATTCAACTCCTGAGGTCTCACTTCATTCTTTTCACCCTCTGGAAACCACGTCGAAGACAGCAAGATCAGTTTTGCTGCTTAAAGCCTCCATTGCATCCACAGCCCATTCTACACTTTCCAGCCTTCTTGGAATGGATCTAGTATCCAGGCTTTTCCTGAAGGAGCGTCTCCACCCCACCCACAATTCAGCCCAAACACCGAGCTCTAGTTCTGAGGGCCTTCTGGAGGTTTTCTCACTGTGAGAAATGAGGTTAGAGAGAACCAGGCAGAGGGCCTTCTTGGGAGTGGTACTCACACTGTGGAATGACTTCCCATTAGATGTCAAGGAGATAAGTAATTATAGAACTTTTGGAAGACATCTGAAGGCATTTTGAGGGGCTATTTTGTAGGTGGCTTCAGGGCTTTTGCCCTTGCCAATTTGGCTCTAAATTGCTTTCTTGAGTGCCTTCATCATTTACATTGTAAGTTGTAAATTATCTATATCAAAAAAGAAATCTTAGAAGTGTCTATCAACAACTAATGAGATCATAGATAACTCCTTCACTGAGCTTTGAATTTCAGTATGTTCCTCTTTATCTTGGTGGTGAACAAACAACACCCATTCCCGGACCACACTGAACCATTTGTTCCCAAGTGTTGCCTGCGACATGAGACCATGGCCTATAAATAACTCCACGTAAGCCTCTACCTGCACCAATTCCCTTGTTGATCCATCTCTGCTCTGAGTCTCCTAATCTTTCCAGAATGATGAAGGCACTCCTGAGCGCATGCCTCCTCTTGGTCCTGCTTTCTCCAGGTAAGATGGGGAACATTTAATTACCTTTAGAGGACACTGAAAAGAACTTGCAGCTTGGGAGAGAAGGGGAGTTAGAAGTGCAGATCAACACCCCAGAGAGCAAGGAGGGCAGGGTTACCAAGAGAAAGTAGCAGAGAATTAAGTCATGAATATTTCTTGTGTTGTCATTATGATGGGCCCGACGATCCTTTTTCCCCTGGCACCGTTGGGCCCGTCCTCTCACTTAAGTATAGTGCAACCGAACACCAATCCCACGGATTTCCACAGTCTACCTCAGATTATCTTGTAGGGGATTTGCGTGAAGTAAAATTTAATAATTAGGAGTTTCGGGCAGGATTTGCTCAAATAAACAATAACAATTTTATTTAACAAGAAAGTTTATGACACGAGTAGATAAAACTGAGAATACTTCAGTCTACAATGTTATTTCACTTCAAGGTTTTCTCAGTTGTTCACACTTAATACTTTGGTTCTTAACAAGGTGGTACTTTCTGTCAGTTACACACCCCTAGACAACCCTGCTGTTGAGGCACTCCAAGGTTTCACTGGTTTGGGAGTCTTCTCTTACTAGAAGAATCTCTCCCCTCCTGACTGGAATAAGTAGACTGTCTCTTTACAGCTTCTACTTCTCCTGTCTCAACCTCAGCCCCCCAGTTAATTCCTGGCCTAAATGCTCTTACAGGACACCACACACTGTCCTTCACACTAAGCTCAGAGACTCCTTTCTCTAGCGTGTGATATTTTCCTCAGAGTGGATGTTTCTGCCCAGAACCAACACTCACTCCCTATCTTCCTACCTATCCACCCAACCTCTCAATCCCAACCTACTCCAAAACCTCCTCCCAACACTCCCTCCAAAACGCACTCCTTCTTTCTCTCCATATTCTCTCCTTTTCAACTCCCCCTCCTGGAACCTTGGCCAATCAGATGGTGCCATACATTAACCATTTTCTGGCATGGGAAAAAGAAAAGGAAATACTTGGGGACCCAACCTGCCCCAGCAAAAACAAACTTTTCCTTCACAGTCATCCAGATAAATGATGTCATAGAGATAAATAATAAATACCTCACAGGAATCTTCTGAGGATTAAATAGGGAGGGGGAAACTATGTACACAGCCTTGAGCTTCTTGGAGGAAGTGGATGCAGATAAAAAAAATAAATCGGAAAAATAGAAACTGAAAGTAAGTTAAATTGATAGATTGGTTCATCCCTAGTCCAGGATCCTGTCCTCACACTGGCCAACCCAATGATTATGGAAGCTCACAGTCAGGACCTCAGTGAAACAACACTCTGGCTTACTCTGAGTTCCAGCAACTGATATCTGAAATATGCAACTTTTTATACTGGAGGTAGTACATAGGCATCATGGTTAGTAGCCACTGAGAATCTTATTTTCCATCAATTTGTCTAATTCCCTTCTAAAGCCATTCAAATTGGTGGCATTGACTACCTCTTGTAGAAAATTCCATAGTTTAATTGTGCTAAGATGTAAGTTTGTAACCAAACAGTGGGAAGAAAATATATTTAAGTGAGAGTCTGGATGGGGGGGAAGGTTGGCCATGGGAAAGGGGGAGTTCACCTCCCCACCTCTTGGAAATAATTTAACTGGTATTCTGGGCAATGGCTTCAAGAGTTTTAATTAATGAGTGTTTTATTCATTCTATTCTATTCTATTAAAATGCTTTTAAAATTGAACCCCTTTTAATTTAGAAGTATTAATTGACTCTCACCTCCTCCTTTGTGTGTCACTTAGCAAACTGCAAAACCAATTAATAATAATGTTAATGATAATAATAATAATAATAATTAATAATTCATGAAGTAAACTTTTGCTTCTGTCTTCAGCATTACCTCTGCACTGCAGATATAGTTATAACAAGACTGGAATGACATACAATAGCTATCTTGAAACAACTTGTGACTCCGATAAAGATTCCTGTGAGGCCAGTGTTCTGCGTACAAATATAAGTAAGATTTGTCTTTTTTGTCTTTTTTTGTCTTTTACTGTTTGATTAGATCCAGGTTAAGATAGTTGAACTTTAAGGGTTCTAATAGCATATAGAAGTCTACGCTGGGGCAACTCACCTATGAAAAAAAGTGAAGTGAGGAAGCTGTGGCACTTCAGCTGTAGATGAATTAGAACTCTCATCAGCCTCAGCTAGCCAGGCCACCAGTCAGGGATGATGGGAGATGCAGTCCAACAACATCTGGAGGATCACAGCTTCCCATCCTGAAGTAAGGAATGGCTTACATTTGAAAATGGGGAATCTAACATCACCTGCTCACAACCAGTGGCTGAATCTGGGTGCTTATCTCCAAGCTTGGGGAACTTGATTTGCATTAACTAGAAATCCCCATTGACCCAAACCAATGGACTCCAATTTAGTTTTAGTTATCAAACGAGACAATAAGCCTAGAATATAACCTGAATATCCCCTTTGCCATAAATAACATTGAAATAGAGACTCCTTTCACAGATCTATAAAAAAACTAATCAAAAGCTGAGCAATTGGGATGGGAAATGAAGGTGCTTCACACTTTCATGGCTCCCCCCTCCCCCCCTCAAGTAATTTTGAAATAACTCTCAGTGATGAAATGATTAGGAAGGAACCAACATTAAGGGAGTATTCTTGTAGTTCACCTATGAAAAAGGGTTTCCGTTACCCAGCTTGATTCAGTGTGGGCCCCTCCAACCTGATGAACTTCTTTCATACTTCAACATTGGTTAAGGTTGTTTTGATCCCCTTGCTTGATCCTGATTCACCCACCCCTCTACCTAGAAGGACATGAGTGCCATTTCTGGTTCGTCTGAGGCGCCAAAATGCCTCGGGGCAATCCTGGGTGGGATGGTGGTGCTCACTTGACCATCTGTTCCAACATCACTGGTACATTCTTGGAGGGAGAGGGGCAAGTGGGCAGTAAGGCTGGTGCAATGCAAGTGTCTTGCCAAGTGTCTTGCACTGGGCAACAGGAGTTCAGGGAAGCATTTCCCCCACCCTACAAACTGTTATGATCGACTAGCAGAGAGAGTGCAGTGTATGGCACATGCATTGTCAGATGTATAGAAGAAGGCATGAGTCCTCGTGCTTGAAATTTGATGTGAAATGAAGTTCTGTATACATTCCAAATTTAAAGCATTATACAAATTAATTGCAAACATAAAAAAAGAGATTGGTCCTATGGATTAATGAGGCAAGAGACTACTGCTTGTGGCAGAGAGCTGAACTCATAAATGCCTGCAGAAGACTATTCTGTTCCACCTGGGCTATGCAGAACATTAAGAATAGATCTTTCCACACTGGTTAATTGATATCTATTGATTTACTTTTAATGTGGTTTTTCTTGTATCTTTTACCATATTTTTCGCTCTATAGGACGCACTTTTCCCCCTCCAAAAATGAAGGGGAAATGTGTGTGCGTCCTATGGAGCGAACGTTGGCTTTCGATGAAGCCTGGAGAGCGAGAGGGGTGGGTGCGCATCGACCCCTCTCGCTCTCCAGTCTTCAGGAAGCTATCCGCAATCCTTCAGAGCACGGTGGGAGCTCCCGCCGGGCTCCAAAGGCTTGCGGACAGCAGCCTGCAGCCCGAAGCCTGGTGAGCAGGCTTTGGGCAGCTGCGCAACTTTGTCTCCGCTCCAGGACCTGTTCTGGGGGCTGGGGTTGGGGGAAGCTCGGGCTTTCCCCGCCCCAGCCCCGCGGCTAAAATCGAAGCCCCACGCAGCCTCTCCCGGCTGGAGAGGTTGTGCATGGCTAAAGAGGAATCCAAGACAGCCAGTGGGATGGATCCCACTGGCTGTCTTCGTTTCTTTGCTCTTTGGGGCTGGGGGGAGCGGAATAAAACTAGGTGCGCCCTGTGGAGTGAAAAATACGGTATGTATGAAATGTATGAAAAACATTTTGATATTTTTTCCTCTTATGTTATAGCAGTGCACACGCATTTAAACAAACAAACAAACAAACAAACAAACAAACAGCACCTTACTTTTGATTGCCAAATTTAATAATACTTTCCATATTGTTAGTTTGAAAAGGTCCTGATTCAGGTATCAAAGAAAATTGGAACCATTACAATGAATGTGCCTTAGGAGCAATGGTCCTGAATATTTTCCCCAGATCTAGATATTTCTTTCAATTTCTTTTTCATAGTAGAACTTCAAGCGCAACTTTTGAGTAAATGCACGTCATCCGACAATTGTTTCTCAGGCAATTACAGCTTCACTGCAGGGGATGGTAAATTCTTTGAGATGAAGAAGCACTGCTGCAACACTGAACTGTGTAACAATGCAACTCTCAGCCGTAAGTTTCTGTATAATTTTAAAATCCACAACATGTTAGGGCTTTGCATTGGATTTGGCCAAAGGCTGGATAGGTAGTCAATCAGCAGTACTCAGAGGACCTGGGCCTCATTCAAATGGGGTGAGACAGCCCCAGATGGCTATATGGGTTGAGCAGGTCAGCACTATTAGGGCCTCTCAAGGGGTGGAGAGGCAGGGAGGGCGAAGAAGCAGGCATGAGGAGAAACTGTGAAGAAGAGGGACCTACTGGGCAGCTACATCTCTGCCTGAGAAGGGATGCGTAACCTTTCCAACCAGGCCTTACCTGAATCTGTCCCATTGTCAATCCTAAACCCAGACTGGGTCTAGATAATCTTTTCATCCAATAATACTTGCAGGTGCCCCACCAAAACTGTAAAGCCCTTGGGTGAATTACAATAATATAACATACAGGTACAAAAACAGATACAGTGGTACCTCGGGTTAAGTACTTAATTCATTCCGGAGTTCTGTTCTTAACCTGAAACTGTTCTTAACCTGAAGCACTACTTTAGCTAATGGGGCCTCCAGCTGCCGCCGTGCTGCCGGAGCACGATTTCTGTTCTCACCCTGAAGCAAAGTTCTTAACCCGAGGTAATATTTCTGGGTTAGCGGAGTCTGTAACCTGAAGCGTATGTAACCCGAGGTACCACTGTAAAACCATTAACATGCTCACTATACTTTTGATTTTGGCAGTTTCTGATCGCAACGTGCTGGCTGAAAATGGCCTGAAGTGCCCAGCCTGCTTCTCCAAAGGAACCACACAGTGTAAAAGTGAGAAGACCATCAACTGCCTTGAGAATGAGACCCAGTGTGTTGTTTTTAAAGGATCTCTTTTAGAGGTAACATTGCTACTTAGACAGGGGAAAGGGCCTAGTCATCGGATGGGTCACACAGACTCACCCCTGTTCTCCTATGCTCCCCCTCCCTTCCCTTTCCCTTGCATATTACTAGAAATGTGAGAGGGTCCACATCTCTAACTGGCCCCATTCTGCACCCTTCCTTAGTGTTTTGCCTGCCTGGACTGTGTCCTTTAACTCTCATAATGCCACTTGCTTGTCCAGAAGGAATATTCCCCTTGGCTGGGGAGGGCGGGGTATAAATAAATAAAAATTATTATTATTATTATTATTATTATTATTATTATTATTATTATTGTTAAAAACACCCTTCTGAACAAAAGTAAAAAGTGCATTCATTGCTTCACCCCAGTTGCATCTGGATCTGTCCACCATTGGGTTGCAGTCGAGGACAAAATGTGTCCCCCTTGCTCAAAAAGCACATTTATTATGTAAAAGGCATGTAACAAGTTTTCTTAAATTCTGTGACAATGAGCAGTATCTGGCTAACTAATTCTGTGCACCAGAATTTCTGCTCTTGGAAACTTGTAAAATAAAAGGAGGATTCTATGGATGCTTAGATCACAGTGGGGCAATGAGGAAGCCTCAGTGGGCATCCAACCATCCTGAGAGACAATGAAGTGCATCTCCAGCTTTTTGTTTGTGTGTCGCTGCATCACACTGTTGTCTCATGCCAGGTTAAAACACTCAAGGTTCCCACACCAGGGAGGGAGTGTTGTTTTCAAATCTTGCTGTGTGGCCACAGCATGTGATTTTAACTTGCCCAGGAGATAGCAGGGATAGAGTTCCTCCCATTTTATTGCAACTCAGCTGCACACAAGAATTTGATCTGCTTAATCTAGTTAATTAGGCCTGTTTTCAGATTCTCTACTTTCATTATATTTTATAAATATAATGTCAGAGGCTGGACTGAGGAGGAATGGTGGGAGCTGCCCCTTCTTTTCTGATTTCCTGAGGCCTGACAGATAAACTGTTTATTAATAATCTTGAGACTCCTTTGGGTATGATGGCCATTCTGAATTACATATGAGTTTATTTTTATCCAAACTTCATGTTGAAAATTTTATTTATTCATGTTCTAATGAAATTATATTTTTCAGATTTCTTAAATATACACATTTTAAAACTAACTAAAATTGTCATTTAGCCTCACAAGCACAATCTCCTAGTACCTGGGTAAAGGACTAATGTCAACATTTCTTTCCTTTTCTTCTAGCCCCCAAACATCTCCCCGATTTCACGTTCCAAGGCTGTGGAACAACAGATTTTTGTGCCATCCACAGAAGAAGACTTGGATCTGGCGGATTAGCCCTTTTTATTACCCAAAAAAGATGCTATAATGCTTCAGGAATCTCACACCAGCCTGAACATGAAGGGTAAATAGGACAGTGTAGACCTCCTCCTTGTGCATTGCAAAATCCATGGCAGTGAGGGGGAACTGGAGGCCTAGTGGTGAAATCCTGGACTCAGGATCTGTGGATCTTTCTATTTTGCTTTTGGTGGGGGTAAAGGGAAGCAAGGGGCAGAGAAAAATGGGTCAAAAATGTGTGGGTTGTAGATTCTAACTACAAAGAACCCTCTAGTGTATCACTAACAAATAATTTTTATTATGATCATTACAAAACAAAATAAATGGTTATGGGAAATAAAATGTTGGTTCTTAGTTCTGTTTCAGATACAAATGCAATTATTATTTATTGGTTTAGCTGAAGCAATTACAAAATATGAAATAAATAAAACAGGATAAACGCAGAATAATTTTTCCTTCTTTTAATCGTCACTGTAAAAGCAGAACAGACCACTTTTTCAGAGGTGTATGGGCACTTGTCCCTTAATAAAAAGTTAATCATATACCCAATCTATCTCTCAGTTGAACAAAACTTCTCTTAAGTCCTCATTGTTGTTGTTGTTGTTGTTTAGTCGTGTCCGACTCTTCGTGACCCCATCTACCTTAGCACGCCAGGCACTCCTGTCTTTCACTGCCTCCTGCAGTTTGGTCAAACTCATGCTGCTAGCTTCGAGAACACTGTCCAACCATCTCGTCCTCTGTCGTCCCCTTCTCCTTGTGCCCTCCATCTTTCCCAACATCAGGGTCTTTTCCAGGGAACCTTCTCTTCTCATGATGTGGCCAAAGTATTGGAGCCTCAGCTTCACGATTTGTCCTTCCAGTGAGCACTCAGGGCTGATTTCCTGAAGAATGGATAGGTTTGAACTTCTTGCAGTCCATGGGACTCTCAAGAGTCTCCTCCAGACCATAATTCAAAAGCATCAATTCTTCGTTGATCAGCCTTCTTTACGGTCCAGCTCTCACTTCCATACATCACTACTGGGAAAACCATAGCTTTAACTATACTAAGTCCTCATAGATGAAACAAACCAGCAAGTAGTTGGGTAGATATTTAGGAACCTCTATCTCCATGTAGGCAAACCTTTTATACCTAGGGCATCCGGTGATAGCATCCTTCAAAAAAAGACGGACTTCATACACTGGAGTCAAAGAGCTGTAAATGCTTTCCCCCATTTGGTATTTGTGATGCTGGTTACATAGTGATGGTGTTGAATGTGTAGTTTGGCATATCAAGGTGCAGGATGGTCCCACCCATGAGGCAAGGTGTGGTGACCATCTTAGGTGGCTGGATTGATAGGGGTCGTCAGGAACATGGCCCCCCAGAGCATAGCAGGATAGTCAGCCTCAGAAATTGAGCTGAGCTAGCAAAGGGCTAACTCTGCAGATGCGAGCTGTCTGAGTTTAGAGAGGACAGCCCACCCCCTTTTTCCCAGGATCACCCCGTGATCGGGAAGCCAAGAGGCTCAGTGGTTTAGACCACAGTGCTACCCGCATCCCTCTGGGGAAGATACAGGCCAGCAATTCAGTCCCTGAATGAGGAGACTGGATAAGCTTTAAGAGCAACAGAAGTGAAGGAGAAGAAAGGCGGGATTTTGGCATTCATGGATACAATGTTTGCGGGATTTTGGCGTTCATGGATACAATGTTCCAAGACCCCCAGAGGCTGGCTGTCACTTCCAGGCAATTGCTTAATTTGAGGCAGGGGAGTAGAATAGTGATGCAATTTTGGTTGGAGTTCAATATGTGGTGACAACAGCTGGAGTGGGGGGATAAGCCCCTCGTGGCGTTGTATTGAGCAGGGCTTAATGGGGACTTACTGGATGAACTGGCCAGGATGCACCCCCTTCCTCATTAGAGAGCATGGTACAGTCTCTGCAACTATGGAACGAAGGATCAAAAGTAGGGGGCCAGGCAGGCAGCCATTAAAGATGGCTGGCATTCCTGATATTTCAGTGCGAAGGTTCGGCAGTATGCCCAGAGAGGAACTGGGGGAGGCAGCCTTCAGACTTCGTCGGCTGAGCGAGAGAGAAGGAGAAGAGAGAGGCTGTGTTTTGTCTGTGGCATGCCATGCTCTGCATGTGTTTTTCTTGTAAATAAATTACATAAAACTGATGGAGAGTCCTCGATGCTTATCCTTGGCCATTAGGAGGTGCTGCTAGTCTCCTCCAGTCCTTGTTTCCTGTGGATATATATATATCTATATATATAAAAAATCTTTATTGAGGTCCAAAGACCTATAGAACAATTTCAGAAGATAATACAGTTAAGACAGACAACCACAAAAGAGAGAGAGAAACTGAGGTGGTCATTTTGTTTTGTCTCGAGCTTGATGATCTTTGTTTCATTTGACTTCCCAAAGAAACTTTGCCATGGCCAGTGTAATATCATCAAACCTGTTATCCAAAAGGTATTTAATATGGCAGGCTTCAGATTTTTCCGGCAGATTTGCTGGTAGGGGTTTGATCATTTGGTCCCTTGCTTGCTCGTACTGCCCATAATGCAGTAAGATATGCTTCATGCAGTCGATGTTCTGAGGACATAAAGCCTATTCTGATAAGTGATGCTTCTCAGTCTACCATTTAGCACTTCTGAAGGAAATACATTTAGTCTGGCTTTGGTAAATAAATGCTGATAGGTCGGTACAGACAGGTTCCTAAGCTATGAGGATATCTGAAAGTCATACCCATATTGGATTCCTGCTGCTACCGGGCCACAGATTAAATGGGGTTGAGATTGCAGGTCCCTATGTGAAATGTTTCCTGTGGAGATCTTTATTCCTCACCCCTCACATTGTTCCTGATGTCGATCTTCACTTAACCCCTTTTTCCCTGGAATGGGGAGGTACTATTTTGTGGTTTGCCTCAGCTGCCAACATGTCTTGGGCCAACCTTAGCAAGGAGCACATTTGACAAGACAGGCAGAAGTGTGATGAGCACAGAAATAATGCTTTAAAATATGAGATTTCATATGGCAAGGTGCCATCTCACTAGCTAGCACATTCATACTCATCAATAAAGTGTAGCATTTCCTTATACCTAGCTAGAGGCTCCCCACTGTTATAAGTCAGCATCTCATTGAAACCTCCACCTCCTTTAGAAATTCCTAAGGGAAAGGATATGCACTCTGACCACTGAGCAAACACCAGCTTCCCTAGGAGCCAACTCCTAGGGGGCAAGGGGTCCTCCAATAAATTGTCTGAGGGAGCTGCCCCCCCCCAAAGTTGATGGGCATTGCCATTCAGATGGTATGTGTGCACCACATCATGTGACTGATTGGGTGGGGCGGGGCTAACCAGCCCCTCACCCCTATATGATTCAAGTTGGCACAGCTGACAACTTCCAAAAGGAGAAGCTTTGGGCAGCTCTAAGATAGTGCATATATTTTTATTCCTTGGTTTTACAAATTCCGCTTATGGGGAGATCCCCATTTTTTGTACCCCATAACAGATTTGTGGGGTGACTTTGACTTCATAGGTTTTGAGGGCTGGGGGAATCTGTATACACCCTTTACTCCAACAGAACGTTGATAGAGAGTTGACTGAATTAATCCCCAATGTATTGTATTTACAAAGTGCTTATTCCAATTGAAAAACATAAACCTAGTTATTTAAAAGATTTCACCAGATCAGTGAGTGAGGTGCTCCTCAAGTTGCCACTTGTGTTTTTTAACCTATTGGCAGAAATCAAAACATTTGTCTTTTCATAATTAAGTTTAAGTTTTTCTTGCATTATCAAGTCATCTTTCTGATGAATACTTCAGAATGGGGAAGCATATATAGCAGACAGGAAGGATGAAAGTTACAGGACCCGGGGGGGCCACTAGGGGCACCTTGGAAGATGGCTGCCAATACCATCTGTCCAGCTTGCACGAGGTAATTAGAGGCTGATTATGGGGAGTAAATCAGTCTCCCTCATCTTTCCAGGGAATTGGAAAGATGCTGCCCTCGCCCGTGGTTGCCATAAATCACCCCCGAGTTCGGATAAAGGAGGGGGTGAGAGGCACTGGGCGGAAAGCCCTCGGGCAGGCTCGGAGCTCCCTGCCAGCTGCTTTCTTCGTTGCCACCACCCCACTTATCACGGGGACACACAGAGTCCAGACAGTTGTTAACACAAGCAAATAATGAAGTTTATTTTTAAGTGCAGGAATAAGTGTATGGTTTCGGTTTATTTTTCTCTTGTCAGTTTCTTAAATCTTAGTTCCTAACAACTTCAAACTGAATTATTCCCAACTATCTATCTAACTCCCTAACAATTCCTCTCACTCTCTCACAATACAACTCGACCAACCCACTGCCTATTCCACCCTCTTCCTTCTCCAACACCAGAGCCTCAACTGCCAACTGACAAACCTCAACTCCCAACTCCCAAACCTCAACTGACTTTTCAAAACCTCCCACTCTATCTTTTACTCCCCCCTCGCATTCTCACAGGCCAATCACATCACACCCATTTTAACCCTTTCTTTGACGCATCATAGGAGGCAAACGCCACAATTCCCTCTTCTGTTTAATTGGTGATGTCATATGACACTCCACCCCAAGAGTCCCATCCCACCTCCAAGGGCCGCCATGAAAATGATTTTTTGGGGGGTTCACACAACCCACCTGTGATGATGGCACACCACTGCTTCCTTCAAGTGGGCAGGGACCACCCCCTTTTGCAAGGAGGCATTATCACCTCCCTGACCCAGTCAGCTGTCCCCTCTCTGCTAGTATTCCTCAGACAAGAGGGGCAAGGGGCAATGTCCTTGAATGTTACCAACTGAAACTCATCCAACACAACAGGGCTAGACCGTGCTCTGCATACCCCTTGAGATTCATCTGCAGTAACAGAGGGGTCACGTTTCCAGTGGATGCAAGCAATTACTTCCTCAATATTTTTGCAAACAAGTCACAGCATTGACAAGTCACAAGCACCCTCCCTGGCTCCCAATGACATGCCATCCCCATTTTCACCTTGGAG